GACTACGTGGGTTTATATCTCAGCATAAATTAGGACTATATGGAATATTAACAAAAGTAATCTATCATTCTGTATTCTTATTTCTAAAAATTCTGGCAAGCATTTTCCATCGCAATGTTATGGAGACGTTAGGCAAATAATCTGCAAAAAACCTCTTCTCACCTTATGCATAGTAATCTGACTGTCTAACTTTACGATTAACTTCATGTCATCTTATGTTATATCACTGCACGTTTTATTTTCTTCGTTCAGGCTTGCGCCAAGAACTTGGCGTTCTCGCCTGGTGGCCGGTATCTCTGTTTGCTCGAGCGTCGTGAATTACAGGATTGTATGAGCATTTTTGATTGTCAATCGGAATGGCGTCTGGTTGTCAACGTTCAGCTCCCCACCAAGGACTCATGTGGACTAGAGTGGTCCCCAGATGGACGTTACATTGCTGTCTACGACTCCTGTCTATACGACACTGTGGCAATTTTCACTGCAGACGGTCGTCAACTGCATACCTTCTCGGTATCCGAAGGTGGAAGCTATCATTTGGGAGTGAAGTCAATCGCGTGGTCTCCCTCCGGTCAGCTTCTCGCAGTCGGCGGGTTAGTTTTAGTCCTTTTCTTTGGACAGTTTACCTCGCTGCCGCTTTCCATATATATTTGTAATAGCTAAGAGGATTTTCTCAACTCTTTATCCTGCCGTGGTACTGCCAGACTGTCTAACATTTGAAGCTCAATGAAAAATGTAAGGGGCGGAAGAAATTGATAGAGCCCAATAACAAATGCGTTAGATGCTTTACAGAATACCGTGATGTTTTGCTGTCGCTATTTTTGCCGCAGTTTGTTTTATTTGGCTGAAGTAGACGTAGTATTAATATTGGTAGGTGTAGTAGTAACAGTAGTCGTAGTGATAGCAATATTAATATTTTAATAGTAGTAGTAATAACATTCGTGGTATTGGTAATAATTGTATTAATAGCATCAACGGTAATGGTCGTAGTAGCATTAACGTACTCCTACAAACCGCTTTTGTGTTACAACGGCGGACACACGCGCCCAGCACGAAAATCCCTGTTGCGCACAATTAGCCCACACTGCGTCCGAAAACAATCTTTAAACAGTAAATGAACAATCTTTCTTAAAAAGAAAGCATACTGTGATTTATAAATTAATATTATGCTGCTTAGAAATACCAACGTTGTTAGAAAAGCGGGAAATTCCGAAAAGGTGAAAAATTAGGGTTAAGTAAGTAAACCTGAGTGTTAAATGTGTAGATAAGGCCTGTTCATGCAAAGCATGGAGTCAATAAAGCAGCACAAGTAGAATTAAGTTCAAAACTAGTTCTTTTGTGAGTTTTGGGAGATGTATTATTCCATATTGCACTCAGTATAAAGTACGGCCGTTCCAAACCAGTCCAAAGGTTGAGTTGTGCATTCCAAAATGGTTTCACGGGAACTGCCTCTTGTTTCTTCCGTTTATACTTTTCTTGAGGTACGTTAGACTAAGGCAACCAACATTTGGCTGCATTACGTTGCCCGAAGCGTCGCAGGAATAAGCTATTTTATAAGCTCGCATGTCCCCATTCCGATCAGGTAAAATCGTAAGCGTACCCTTTCGTGTGTATTAAGACAATTTTCACATTTATTGGTAATTATTGCCAGTTTTGGACTACAAAAAAGTTCACTTCCTTCTTGAAATATTGTTTTCAGTATACTGTCGATAGATACGGATTCTATTCTACATGTTTATCCAAATTTTTAGAATGAACTATTTCTTAGAAAGATTTACCGAAGTCGTGAGTTTTTGGACATACTTTCTAGTGCAAATGTCTGTTTGGGTCATGTTTGTAGCCGCACGAAAACATATCTACCCATTACCGAGCAAAATAAGCGTTCGCAACAAAATTTACGAATTAATACGTCTATAATTAATTAAAAAAACTTGCTATAATAAAATATCTCTTTAAGAAAGCGTTTTGGTTAGATTTTTGGACGTCAAATATCTGCGTATTTTATTTCTTTTGAAGGTTAAGTCAAAGTAAGCATGGGAAAATATGATCGCTTTTTAACTTATTAAACGTAGAGATAACTCTTCAGCTGAAAATGGAAGAACTCACCTTTTCCTATACACATGAGCAGTTTTCGTTATATTCGTTTACTCTTAGGTTCAGTTCTAAACTTGTAAATGCACAACAGATTGACAAAATATAGAGTACGTTTTTTTTAAAGCTGGTAATCTTCTGCCCGTTCCGTTCCAAATTGTCGTAAATTAAGCAAATCTGTCAAAACCCCCTA